TCCCATCTCTGGCACCCAGTGGTTAAAAATCTGGGTCTTGGTTTCTGAGCAACCAGTTCAGTTCCTGTCCCTGCTACTTACTAGTTGTGTGACTTCTGCTGATCTCTCTGAGCCTCAATTCCCCATCTGTAAATTAGGGATCAAATTAGGACTGCCATCATAGGGTTTTGTGAAGATTAAATGAGATCGTGTTGGGACTTGGTGTGCCAGGAGCCAGGGATACTGTGATTCATCACCTGCCTGGAGCCTGTTGCAAATCCCGCCTGGGAGCTCCGAGCTGCTGCAGAAAGAGGAGAGGCTGTGCCTCTAGTTGGGGAAATGAGACCAGTCCATGAGAGAAAATAGAGGGCAAATTAAGAGCGAAACTGTGATGCAGGCCACAAACAGTTTAAGATTTATATGAGATAACAGATGACTTGGATGGTTAAGGAGGTCTCAGAGCATGCAGAGCTGCTGACTGATGGGACCAGAGGAATCTTTTTTTTTTTTTTTAAACTTTTTTATTTTGTATTGGGATATAGCTGATTAATGGGTCTTCTCATGTGGCACTAGCGGTGAAGAACCCGCCTGCCAGTGCAGGAGACACAAGAGACATGGGTTTGATCCCTGGGTTGGGAAGATGCCCTGGAGAAGAGCATGGCAACCCACTCCAGTATTCCTTGCCTGAAGAATCTCATGGACAGAAGAGCCTGGTGGGTTACAGTCCATAGTGTCACAAAGAGGTGGACACGACTGAAGCAACTTAGCACACATAGCTGATTAATAATGCTGTGACAGTTTCAGGTGGACCGCAAAAGGACTCAGCCATACACATACATGTATCCATTCTCCCCCAAACTCCCTTCCCATTCAGGCTGCCATATAACATTGAGAAGAGTTTCCTGTGCTATACAGTAGGTCCTTGTTGGTAATCCATTTTAAATATAGCGGTGTGTACATGTCCATCTCAGGCTCCCCAACTATCCCTTCCCCCGTCCTTCCTCCTGGCAACCATAAACTCATTCTCAAAGTTTGTGAGTCTATTTCTGTTTTGCAAATAATTTCATTTGTATCATTCCTTTGTAGATTTCACATATAAGGTATGTCATATGATATTTCTCCTCTGTCTGACTTATTTCACTCAGTATGACAATCTCTAGGTTCATCCATATAGTTGCAAATGGTACTTTCATTCTTTTTAATGGCTGAGTAATATTCCGTTATAGGTATAAACCACCTTGGGGACTGGAAGAATCTTTGGTTAAGTGAAGATCATTCTTGCAAGGCTGAGTCAGGACAGATTCAGGCTGAGTCAGCCCTGTGCAGCCCACCTAGTGGGCTTTGAAGAACTTCTACTGCCCCAGGGCAGTTTGCCCTTGGGTTTCTTAAGCACCTAGTATGTAATAAGCTTCCTTGGTGGCCCAGTGGTATAGAATCTGCCTGCCAGTGTAGGAGATATGGGTTCAATCCTTGGGTTGGGAAGATCCCCTGGAGAAGGAAATGACAATTCATTCCAATATTCTTGCCTGGGAATCCCATGGACAGAAGAGTCTGGCAGGCTATAGCCCATAGGGTTGCAAAAGAGGCAGACACAACTTAGCTACTAAACCACAGCAACAACAAAAATGTGATAAGTATACATTTATGGAACAGTTTTAGTTTCACAAAACATTATTTCGGGAAATACATGATTTGGAGACTTGCTGTTGAATATATACCTAGATACTTCCTGGGTAGATGTTTGGCAGAACTGAAAAGGTCACTTGTTTTTTTGTGATGAGAACCCAATTTAGAAGTCTTTTAGAATAAACCTAGGCTTGGTTCGGTATGATTTTACTCTGTAATTCCTGGCCTTCCTTTATTTTTCTAGTCATGCAAATCTTCCTTATTTAGAAAAAAATATTAGTTACAGGTTGCTTTTTTTTTTTTTAATCCAAATACCCAGTACACTTGGTTTTGTGGTTATGTAGGAGAATGGACCAGTCTTCGGAGATGGAGCTAAAACATTTTGGGCTGATGTACCACTAGGTGTAAACTCACTCCCAAATGTTTCAAAGACAGATAGATTGATAGAAAACAGGGGGAAATAGTAGGAATTGTTAAACCTAGATGGGAGGGTTCATGAGTGTTCCTTGTCCTATTCTTCCCATTTTTCTCTACGTTTGGAAATTGTCAAATGAAAAGGTAGAGAAAACTTATTGAATTATAGGGGGAAATGAAATGAGAGGAATGGCTAGTAGTTTTAGGATCTAGCCTAGGGCATTTCCCTTTTCATGCCTGGAGTTCGGGAGTGTTTCGCTCACACTTCAGGGTTCTTCAAAGCTTGGGCTGTTCCCACAGGCCTCTGATTTCTGCTCTCTGCCTCTCACTGGCTCCATCCTCAGCCTGCTCCTCTTTCTGAGGATTTGCCAGACCCTGCCCTGGCTGCCATGGCAACAGAGGAGCAGACCCTGGAGGAGGCTGAGAGAGGTCGGAGAGCCTCTTACTTTGAAGACTTCTAGATGTGGCTTCTTTTAGGGACCAGTTTGTGTGAACCTCAGGAATCCCTGAGCAAGCACCTGTCAGCTTCAAGCCTTGGGTAAAGGGCTAGGGTTGGGGTAGGGGGAGTGGACCGAGATCCTCTCATTTGATTGGGGTTGCGGGGAGGGGTGGGGGGCAGGTCTTATGGAGGAAATACATTGCACTGAGCTTATTGAGAGATTTATGTCTTCCTGATGGCGCTTCAAGGGTGACTTAGAATCTGAGCTCTTTTGACCTTATTTGCTAACTTTAGACCTAACCTCCACATAGCACGTGATACCCTGGGGAATAAAGTGTTCATTCATTCCTTCCAGCCATACTGACCGAGTGCTTATTTTGGCCACGCCCCCCTCCCCGCGCTGTGCCAGCTCTTGGGACACAGGACCCCAACTGTGCCTTCACACTGCAGTTGCCCCAGGGGATGGGAGAGGAGGTAAGGGGTCAGGGCAGATTTGTTCGGAGGGGTGGGGACCAGAGGAGGTAAACCAGGGCTTGAAGTGAGACAAAAGGAAGTGCGTTCTTGGGGGCTGGGGAGGCCCCGTGAGTGAAGGTACCATCTGATCAGTGCGCATTCTCTGGGCGAATGAAGACGAGGGGGCCTCGGTCAAGCTGGGAAAAACCTAAAATTAGCCTGACCAGCTGGGTCCGGATGGTGTGGGACTCCCCCCTTACGGCCCTGGCCGCCTCCTCAGGTTTCAGAGAGCAGGAACATGTGCCCGGAGCACTCGTGTTTGCCCAGGTCACAGCAAGCAGGACAGGGTAGCCGGGGCCAGGCTGGGCAGTGGGGAGGGGGTGGGGGTGGGCAGCTCCCGGCAGGGATGTGGTCGCCCTCACGGGAGAACCCCAAGCCCTGAAGAGCCTGATGAGAGAGAAGGGGGAGCCCCTGCCCCCCACCTTCCCCTCTCTGTCTTGACACCACTTCCTCTTTGGCGTCCGCGTGCTCTGTCCATCCAGATCTGCGGGCCTGAGTGGGGCCAGCGACGGGTCAGCACGGCCCGCCTGCAAACCAGAGCCAGGGACCCGGCCGGCCCCAGCGGGGGCGGGGGCAGAGGCCTGGGGCGGGGCCGGCCCCAGCAGGGGCGGAGTCAGCCCACCAGGGGACCGGGGCAGAGGCCTGGGGCAGGCAACTTCCGGGGCGCTGGGGGAGGAGGGGCCAGAAGCCTCCCTGCTCCCCCCCACACACACCTCCCCTGTGCCAGTCTCCTCTCTGACCTTGCCTGAAATTCCCTCCATTACTCACCGTCAGGCAAAGAGCGGGGTGTTGTCATCAAGCCTTAGAAGTTGTCTGAGAAGCTAATCTTGCCTTAGAAGGCCCTGGAGCCGGTGTGAGCGGGTGAGGAGTAGCAAGGAGGTGGGGTAAGGGAGGTGAGAAAGAGACGGCCCAGACTGGGGATGCCGGCAGAGTCGGGGCTGGGGAGCTGGGCATCCTCTTTGGTGTCCTCTACCCCTTGCCCCGTGCAGGGCCACCCCCCACATCAGACATCACCATGTGCTTCCTCTTACATTGCATCTCCACCCCCACCCCAGTTCATCTGTGAAAGCCCTCACCCCCCCAGTACCTCAGAATGTGATGTTGAGAGATAAAGTCTTTAGAGAGGTGATTCAGTTCAAATGGTGGGCCCGAATCCAATGTGTGTGCTCTTTGCTTTGTCGCTCACTCATGTCCAAGGCTTTAGGACGCCATGGACCGTAGCTCACCAGCCTTCTCTGTCCATGGAATTCTCTATGCAAGAACTACTGGAGTGGGTTGCCATTTGCTACTCCAGGGGATCTTCCTAACACAGGGATCGAACCCACATCTCCTGCATTGGCAGGTGGGTTCTTTACCACCAGGTCACCTAGGAAGCCCAATCCAGTGTGACCGGTGTCCTTATAAGAAGAGGCAGTCAGGACACACACACAGAGACGACCACATGAGGACATGTGGAGAAGACACCACCCGCAAGCCAAGGAGAGAGGCCTTGGAAGGAACCAGCCCTGCCAACTCCATCTTGAACGTCTGCCTTCAGGACTATGAGAAGATAAATGTTGGTTGCAGAAGCTTATCATGTGCTTATCATGGCGGCCCAGGTGGACTGGCAGTCTCTCTCCCCAGAATGCCCTGCCTGGTGCCCTCTTCCCATCTTTTCTCCTGGGTCACCCACTCCAGCTTTCACATGGCTCTCATTTGCAAATGCCACCTGTGGGTGTGAGGTCTCCTTGTCTGCAGCTGTGCTGGAAACTTCTGGAGAACCGAGCACAGGCTGGAGGCTTCCAGAGAAGGTGTGATGATTGCGAGCCCAGTCACAAGTCACTCGGCCTAAGCTAATTACAACAAGAGTCATTCTGTGCAGTCGTCGGAGCTCTGTCATGTCCCCTTGGACCTGCTAAGCATCCCACATGCCTGGCAGCAGATTTTACTGAAATATTACCTTGGGGTTTCTCCCTCCACCTGTCTGCCTGCACCCCCTTCCCAGCACAGCACCGTGTTTGTATGTCCTGGCCTCGGGAAATGATGGCATTTAGAATGGCCTGTCCACCAAAGACTTTAGCAGATGGCAAATTGTCTGTGATTCCCTAGAAATAATATTATAACTGGTGCACAAGCCCCACTCCCCAGCTTCGCGTCCCTTCTTTGGCAGACTGGAAGGGGAAAAAACCTCTAAGAAGCAGCCATATGAAGCAGTGGCCAGCCCCTCCCCCCACCTCCGACTGTCCCCCGCCCGGCTGCCATGGGTATCATGCTCACAGTGTGGGGGAGACCCCAGGGTGAGGGGTAAAAATAGAAGTTGCAGGATGCTGGTGCAGAGGGGCCCCGTGTGTATGAATGAGACAGGAGGGTACATGGTTAGAGAAGCAAAACTCACCCCTTCTAGATCCATAGCCCTAGGCCCTGCCTCTACCAGTTCTGGACTCTCCTGCCAGCCCTGGTGGTGCTGCTGGTGAGCATGGTTTGGGCCAGGCTCTTGGCGACAGCCCTGACATCACCAGGGGTCTGATGTGTCACCCACCTTCCCTGTACTGAGCTCTGCTGAGAGCTGTGCTCTAGGCCCCTACCCAATGTCTAGTTTACCCTTCTTTCTACCCAGCTGAAATCCTCCCTAGGATTCTCTGTAACTCGTGGTGACCATGTTGACCTACTTCTGTCCAATAGAATAAGAGAAGTCAGCAAGTAGATCCTGAAAAAGGATCTGACTCAAGAGCTGACACATTTGTCAGCTCTTCACCTCTGATTCACTCTTTCCCCTTTCAACCTTCCTGGAAGACAATTTGGATGCCTGGAGGTGCAGCAACCACCTTTCACTCATGAGGACAAAAACCGGGTGCTGAGTGTGGGAGAGGTGAAACATAGAAGGAATCTGGCTGATGCTTCTAAGTGTCAACACTGACCCTTTTACTGCCAACTCTGAACTTATTTTTTGCAAGAGGTTGAAAAGAAAACCTGTTTGTTTAAACTCCTGTTACTCTAGTTTTCAGGTACTTGCGGGAATGCATAGTGCTAACTGACACACAGCCCTTCCTAGACAAACTCTGGTGGCTTCTTTTGAAATCTCAGCATATACCTCAGCCAACCCTATATCCTATATCCTCACCCAAGGATAGCTGTGCCTCTACCCTGAGCCCACCCCCCTGAGGCAATGACCCAGAAGAGTGCAGAGTGTCGGGGCACAGGCTCAGAAAGGTTAAGTGACTTGTCTTGCATCACACAGCTCATAAGAGCAGAGTAAGTGTCAAAATAAAATCTTCAGTCTCAGCACCATTTCTTCTCCAGTACTACGGTGGGTGAGAGTGGACAGAGATGTGGGTGTTCACAGGTCAGTGAATCTGATGTGATTCCTTAGGAAAATAATAATAAAAATAGTAGATCAAAACCTCTCTGAAGGCTTTGCAAATGTTTCCTCAAGGAGGCCCACCCTGACCACTCTTGAATTTCTTGATGTTATTACCCTACTCTATTTTTTTTTCTTTAATAGAGTATTCACTTTCTAGCAGAGTACTTAATTTACTTTTATTGTGCTGGCTGTACCATGTCGGTCACCTCTCTCTCCACCCCAGATGTAAGCCCCACAGAAATAAGGGTCTTGGTCTGCTTTGCTCATGAATACAGTCTAAGAGTCGAGAATAATGCTGGCATAAAGAAGGTATTCGTTGAACTGAATTAAATTGGGATGTTTCCTGAGCACCAACCATTAGGGGCTGAATTGTATTCCCTCCAAAATTCATGTGCTGAAGTCCTCACACCTAGTATGTCAGAATGTATGTGGAGACAGGGTCTTTGAAGAGGTAACGAAGTTAAAATGAGGCCCTTAGGGCGAGCCCTAATCCTGTATGACCGGCATCCATATAAGAAGAGACTAGACCACAGACACTCAGAGAAGGAAGCTCACTGAAGGCAACAGAGAGATGAAGTCCGCCTACAAGCTACAGAGAGAGACCTCGGAAAAAACTAACCTGCTGACACCCTGATTGCAGGCTTCTGGCCTCCAGAATTGTGAGAAAATAAATCTTTCTAGTTTAAACCACCCAGCCTGTGCTCCTTTGTTATGCAGCCCAAGTAGCACCTAGCTGTGTGTGAAGGGCTTGTACAGGTTGTCTCATCTGATCTTAACCACAGCCCCGAAAGATAAGTACTTACTTACTTTTCACATGCAGAAACCGAAGCCCAGGAAGTGATGATGGGGGTGCCTGATGAGGGTACAGCTTGGGGTGCTAGGCCTCCTGGAGCTGCGGGGAGGGAGCCCCAGCTGCTGACCCACCAGGGCCTCCTCCTTATCTGGAGTTCTATCGACAGTCAGGCCTGACCTCCATCTGCCCCACTCCCAGCCCCAGCCCTGAACCGGTCCACGCTAGACCCCTCACCTGCCAACCAGCTCTCCCAGCAGCTTTGTACAGACCTGTAATCTGAGATGCCACTGGAGCCACCCAAAGAAACAAGTGTCTAAGGTACAGGTAACATGTGTCTGGTTCTGATACTGAGGCCGGTGGGAGGAGAAGAAGGAAGCAGCTTTGGGGAGAAGCAATTTTCTGCAGACTGACTGGAAGCAGTTAGTCCTGATGTATTGACCACGGGCCTGTCCCGAGAGGCAGACCCCCCAAGACAAGGGTGTGAGGAGTTCTTCAGACAGCACCTCTAGTGAGGACAACAGCCGCGGGTGGCACTCATTGAGGTCCCACCAGCTGCCCGGCTTTTGTCCTCAAGGCATGATGGAGAGTTTCTCCTTTAATCCTCTGAGCAGCGCTGTGAGAGCGTCACGGATGCTATCGCCGCTTTACAGGTGAGGAAGCGGAGGATCAGCAAGCTCCGGTGACTCACACGTGGTTGGGCTGCGATCCCGTCCGACTTCTGCCTGGGCCCCTGCGCCGGGAACTGACACCAGTTGTACTCCTTGCCAAGTGCTGCCTTGGGTAGTAGGTGGTCCGGCCTTTTCCCCAAACTCCTTGCTCTAGAGAGTTAGGAAAGAAATTCGCGGAAAAAAAGGATGAAAACTGACAACTAGTGTGACAAAGGTCTGAACTGGCAGTTGATGATCTCCCATGCCTCCCTCCCAACCCTCGAGGATCGCCTCCGCCTGGGAGCTGAGGGCGTCTCCCCCGTCTGGCCTGTCTTCCCCTCCAAGGCCACCCTGTGCTCCTCTTGGCCAGGGTCACTGGGAGGTGGAGTGCCCCTACCGCCAGCTCCCTGTGGCCGGCAGCTGGCTTTGGAATGGCCTAGTCAGTCACAGTCGATGGGGGATTGTCCGGGCCTTCCCAGGGGGACCAGGGCGGCCTGGGGAGGGTCTGAAGCTAGGCCTGTGGGTCCCGGGTGGTGACCCTCCTGTGCTCTTCCTTCGGGACTCCTCCCCTCCGTCCTCCACTCGTCAGCGACAGTGTGGGGGGCTCCCTTTGTGCTGAGAGTGGTAAGCGGAGGTGGGGGGCTCCTGAGATCTTCTGACAGTCTGCCGTGTGAGCTCGGTTCCTGCAGTCTTGCTGGGAACTTCTGTCCTCTCTGCTGGCCTCCCAGCCCTGGATGCTCTGCGGGTCAGAATCTGGGTAAAGGTGGACCAAGGAGGCCTTCCTTTACCCCTTCCCCGGAGGACAGCTGCCTGTAAGCCAGGCTCCTCTCCCCCGCGTGAGTGTGGCAGACTGATGGGGCTGGCATGCCTCCCATCCCCGTGAGGACTGGGCCGTCTGTGTATGTATGTTGGGGGGAGGTCCTCAGGGATGGAGCCCGGGAGCACGGCCCTTGCCTGTTGACCAGCCTGCCCTGCATAGTCCCTGCCCACCCCACCCCCCCCCCAAAGGAAGCTGCCTGGCACAGGAAGAGGGCAATGGTGTCACCCAGCTGGATGCAGAGGGCAGGTGGACTGGATGGCCTTGGTGAGAAGCCAGAGGACATGACAACGCTGCCCTGGGCCCCACCCGCCCCCCTGAGCCTGAGGAAGTGGCAGGGCCCCAGCTTCAGGTGCCCACGAGCCGCCTCCTCTGGGCAAGTGCCATCAGCCGCACCTCCGAGGGGGCAGGGCCCGGCGCGGGCTGGTGGAGGGTCACCACGAGGGGGGGCGTTCCCGTGGGTCCTGGCGGGGCCCTCCTGACCACACGTATCCCACTTTACAGGCTGGCTTCGAGCTCTTCTTTAGAAAAAGTAGCATAACTTGCCTTTTCCTTTGGAACCTGTCAGCCACCAAAGCCCTATCTTCACTTAGCAGACACCCAACACCCTGTTTCTCATTTTCGGGATGATTCTGCAAGTTCTAGAAATTAAAACCCACTGCATTCTAAAAAGATGCTTTCTCTCTCCCCCTAACCCCACCTAGGGAAATGGGCAACACAGATCTCATGATTCCACAGGGCACCTCTGGCTACTTCCGGGTAAAAGGGCAGAAAGAGAGGAGCTGGACTAGGCTCGCTAGGCAGGTCGGGGTTCCTGAGATCACTGGGGTGCTTGGGGAGAGCTGGGTGGGCAGGCAACGCCGGAAGGTGAGGGAGGGATCTGGGAGGCCCTGGAGGGTAGCAGAGGCCTGGCTGAAGAGGCTGAGGGCACGCCAGTCCAGGTGGAGCCATTCTCAGTGGCAGCGTGGGCGTGGAGCAGGGACTGTCCCAGGGGCTCTGGTCACCCAGACCCGTGGCCGAGGGTCCCAGGGACGTCGCTGTAAGGGCTGCTCAGGGCAGCTGCTATTGGCTTCCCATCAAGACTGTGGAGGAGTCACTGGAGGCTTGGGAGGAAGCAGGCAGCCTGAGCCCCTGTCTGCCGGATGAAGAATTTTCCTTCGGAAGAGTCTGTGGAGGACGTGGCGGGTGCAGGGCCCCTGAATCCATGAAGGATGCTACCCCCAGAGCGGGGCTGGTGGCAGGGCAGGGATGGTCCTTACGTCCAGGATAGAGTCATTGTGGGGCATCTGCTGTGTGGTCAGCGCAGGACTGGGGCCGAGAACTGTGGCTAGGACACGGCCACTGAGGGGTCAGCGGCCCCAGCCCAGGGGCACTGGCTACCACTCACCCATCGCTCCCTTTTGGGGGACACTTCCCTTCATGAAGTAGTTCCTTCCAGATGCCACAAGGACTCGGATGTGTGAAGGACACTGGGGAAGAAGGTGACACATTCAACAAGAGGCAGAAAGGCTGAGGCACCCAAAGAAGCAGACGCAGAATGTGGGTTCCACTGTGGGGTCATGGGGTGGTCTGGGGCCATGGAGCAGGTGGCCTTGGATTAGGCCTTGAGGGTGGTGTGGGCCTCACCACACCAGGGGTGTGAGATACCAAGGGGTGAGGATCACGAGGGAAGGGGTGGTGTGAGAACTGGCCTGAGCAATCACAATTAAAATGACAAGAGCTAGAGTAATGAGGGTAGGACTTGTCAAGTCACTAAGGGTGTGAAAGAGGCTCTGGAGCACTGGCCCCAGGCCTGGCGCAGAGTGAGCAGTTGGCAAATGGCAGTTGTTATTATGACCAGGAGCCGGGCCCCCTGCCCACCCCCCTGCCCCCGCAAACTGTGAAAGGTGCCGGTGCTCTGAGTTTTGAGTGTCAGCCTATTTTGTATTAAAAAGCAGAGATACCACTTTGATGGCCAAGGTCTGCAAAGTCAAAGCTATGGTTTTTCCAGTAGTCACGTATGGATGTTGGACCATAAAGAAGGCTGAGCGCCGAAGAATTGGTGCTTTCGAACTGTGGTGCTGCAGAAGACTCTTGGGAGTCCCTTGGACAGTAAGGACATCCAACCAGTCCATCCTAAAGGAAATCAGTCCTGAATATTCATTGGAAGGACTGATGCTGAAGCTCAAGCTCGAATACTTTGGCCACCTGATGTGAAGGGCTGACTCATTGGAAAAGCCCCTGATGGTGGGAAAGACTGAAGGCGGGAGAAGGGGATGACAGAGAATGAGATGCTTGGATTGCATCTATTGGCACCAACTCAATGGACATGAGTTTGAGTAAGCTCCAGGAGTTGGTGATGGACAGGGAGGCCTGGCATGCTGCAGTCCATGGGCTGCAAAGAGTTGGACATGACTTAGCAACTGAGCAACAACTATTTTGGATGCACTTTTGCACCCTTTCTGCCCTTTAACCCATTTCCTGCCCCCAGAGTCAGGGCTGGACCCCAGGTGGACCCAGCCCTCCATAGCTCAGCTCCTCTGAGCTGAGACCCAGTGTGGTGGCATGGCAGCCCCACTGCCCTGGCCCCTGGCCCAGACACGACCACGTGAACCCCACTCCACAGTGGATGAAGGTGTCCTTTCACCTTGCCTGGGCCTGTCCTCTGGGAGTGTTACAGGATAGGGCTGGGGGCCAGCTCCTGTGAAACTTGGGGCTGCTTCAGCCTCTGGAGCGATGCCTTCACTCCCCAGAGTGAAGCGGGGTCCGGGTGTCCTTTCAGTTATCCCAGGGTTGCCCCCAGGCACCTTGGAGAGTGTTTCAGAACTCAGATGAGGAAACTCCACCCAACCTCAACTCAGAGAAGCCAGGGCCTCATTCAAAGGACTGTCCCTGCCCTAAAACCTGCTCCCCATGCAGAGACCTGTCACCTACCTAGACCTTAATCTCCCAGCCTGCCTGGGGACTCCATTCCCACACATATCCAAGGGGCTAGGGCTCATCTCACCCTCCCCTCCTCCCCCAGGCCCTCATCTTCCCCTGCCTGCTATCTGTTATTACATTAGCCTTTCAGTGTCTGGCCCGCCTCCAGATGCTCTCCTTCGGGGGCCCTGCTCCAAACAGCTAAGCAAGAACATTTTAGAAACACAAACCCCATTGCCAGAGTTCCCTTTAATGGTTTTCAGTTACCTTCGAGTTAAAATGCCAATTTCTTAGCAACAAGCCCTCCTCCCTGTGTTCAGCTTATCCCTCTCCTTCTCGCTCACCCATTTCTTGGACCTGGGGCCCCGGGTCCACTGAAATCTCCCCGCTAAAACCCCTGGACCTTTGCTTTCTTGGAACCTGCACACATTTGTAGCTGATCCCTCTGCCTGGAATATCTAATTCACCCCAGATCTTTTTCTCTCTCCTAACTTCTACTCATCTTGAATTTTATTTTCAATGTTTATGTCACTATATTACTTGTAGATTTTTTTTTCTTTAAGTGGAAATGTCTACAGTGTTTGCTGGCTATTGGTGTAATGCATAGTAACTCTGCTCAGGGTCCCCGAACTGCAATGCCTTCCTCTCTTCCCATCTGGGTGCTTTCAATCTGGATTCCCTGCTGACTCTGAACTGCACACAGGTAGTTACACCTATAATGGTTCATGCCTGTCAGTTTCTCAATGTTTTATCCTCAGTACCCAGCTGTTCCTGAATTATTTTGGTTGCTTAATAATAATATTCATTAAAATATTTTTAACATAGTTTCTGTTTCAAAACTATAGGTCTAAGTGTCTGAATATTTTAAATTAAAATGCTGAAGAGTTCTACAACTCAGTTTCTAGCTGGAGCCCCTTTTCTGCCTCAAGGTGGATTCTCTTAAGCCAATTCCAGAAAATCTACCTTCTATGAGCCCCCTCCCCATCCAATTTATGCTTTTTATTCCATTCTCTTCCTCACTTCTGTTGCTGTTGTTTTACTGTTCAGTGGCTAAGCCATGTTCGACTCTTTGCGACCTCAAGGACCGTTCCTCTGTCCTTCACTATCTTCCGGAGTTTGCTCAAATTCATAACAGGATCCAAGATAGCGGGCCTCTTGGAAGGGTCTGGACACTGGAGGGGAAGAGTTGGGTCCTGGGAGACCACGCTGAAGCCTGGCTGGCATCTGCTCTGTCCTTTGTTTCATAGTAGGCAGATGTCCCCCAGCCTTTGCTGAGATAGCCTCTCAACATGTGGCAGAGGATAGAAAGGGGACAACCACTGAGTGTGGGTCAGTGGCTTCATTGAACCCCTTCCCTTTCAAATCCCAAACCTCAAGACCCTACCTTTCAAGGGGCCTCAGAGCAGAAGGGATGGATTCGAGTAATGATCCACCCGCCTCAAACGTGAGGAGGGGCTCCAAGTGAGCCTGAGCCTTGGAGAAGTCTCCGCACTATCTGAAAGAGCACAGTAATGAGTGTCTGAATATGCAAAGAGCCCTGTGGGGCCCAAGTCGGTGGGAGGCGGTCATGGAGCGAAATGGCTCTGCTTAATGAGGGGAGGAACATTTCTGGAGCTGGATTTTGGGATGGGGGTTCAGGGATTGGTCAAGGGGATGAGCAAGGAGGGTAGAGCCACTGCGTGCAGGATGGCCAGGGGACTGTATAAGAATAAGGACACCAACTTTGTCACTGCTGTGCCGTGGGCCCTGTTTGTCTCTCCAACTTTCAATAAATTTGACTGCACCCAAATTGGAGGGCTCCAATTTGGAGGGTCCCAAATTGGGGGCTCCCCCTAGGAACTGAAGGGAGACTCTTTCTGTCTCAAGCTCAAACTCCTGCCCTCTTGCCCTCAGGGAGACTC